CCCCGCCACAACGCTCCGCTGCGCCCCTCCGTCGCAGCACTTCACCCGTCGCGACACCCTGCTGCGATGCTCAGCCGCAATGCATCACTACAACGCTCTGTCGTAACGCGTCACCACGACGTTTTGCCACGACGCATCCCTCAGATGCACCGCCTCAGCGCGTCACTTCGTCGCAACGCGATGCCTTACCATGATGCCTCGCCGCGCCGCATTGTCGCAACACCCCACCCTGATGCACCGTCGTGACACATCGCTACAACGCACCCTCTTAACCCCCCCCCCCCCCCACCCCCCCCCCCCCCCTCCCAACTCCTTTAGGCTTATTCACAGGCTCAAAAAAGATATTGGCTATTAAATGCACATTAATATATATATTCAAAAAGATGTGTAAGCATTAAATGCACATTAAAAAAAAATTTCATATCCCGAAAAAATGATAAAGGCTTTTCATACTTAAAAAAAAAAAGAAGAAGAAAGTGGATAAAGAAAGTCTTTTCATAGTCCCATAAATAAAAATGAATTAATAAATAATTTTTTTGACTTAACAGGATTCGGGACAATTAGCTTAAGACAACAAGAACCTTCAATGAAGACTTGGATTATTCTTATCAAAAGATAATAAACTATATACATATATTTAAATGTATGTCTCATAAGAATAAAAAAGGTTTAGATATCAATATTTTCGGTCGACGAAATTGGGCTCGCCCGAAAATAGGGGGGAAACTGATGTCACATATATATGATAACCAACAAATTTTTATTATCCGACACGAATCTCGAAGCATGACACGGATCTCGAGATAATATTTTAAGTGAGTGATGTTCAAACCTTTATAAAAACTCATCCAGAGCTCTCATTTCAACAAACTTACAGTCAAACTGACCAGTTCGATGAGACGGAACTAATGATATCAGTCATTCCAATCTGAGTCAAATCAAGCCGGGATAAATTCATTAAATCATTCTTGGAAGATTTTCATACACATTTGAAAAGTCAAACGATTGTTGAATCTGACAAGTTTATAGTCGAATCGAACGTCTCGACAAGACGAATCCAACGAGCCTAAGATTGTGCAATTTTGACATCGTTAAGGCAATCCAATGTGCATTAAACATCATTTGATCAGATGAAGTTCTCCGGATCATCCAATAAAAATGATTCATATTCATGCAATAATGACACCCAGGACACTCTAAATAGAGTCTCACCTCTCACATGAAGGGAGAGACTGGAAGCTTCAGAGAGAACTGGAAGCTCTGAGAAGGACCTGAAGTACAGCACCATCCCGACCGTCATCGACCACCGTCGATTATCATCGAACACCGCCGGCCGTCGTCGACACCCATCGATCATCGTCAGCCACTGTCGATCATTACCGTCGATCACCACCAATCATAGTCGATCACCACAAACTAGGCGTTGTCAGTCATTGCGTGGGACAAGAACTCATCACTACGGTCCATGTGCTAACAACGACAAACGTGGTTCACAGGTCCACAGCTCATGCAGCTCCCGCCTCCAGCCTTTGCAGCTTACGGATGTTATTCATACTCGCCCCTACAGCCTACCTAGTTCACAGCTCGTACAGCTCTGGCCCTTGGCGGCCTACGAACATCATTCATACTCACCACTACGGTTTATGTGGTCCACAACACCCGTAACTGCTTACTACGGTAGCTTTGATCAATCAATATTTTTGAAGCAACCATCTACAACACTCACAATGAATTACTACCTCCACAATAATGAACAATGATCCTTGCAACCTGCTGTCACCAAGAACTGCAGCCAGATTATAGTGATACAACTTTGCAATTCTATCTTCCCTAATTTAGGAGAAGAATGGATCTGTGTATTTATCATGCATAGTGAATTATTTCAACTGAGTTATGTCTCGTGATTTTAAGGGTTTTCCACGTTAAAAGTCAATGTGTCTCCTCCTGCATACTTCTTTTCTATTTTTTGTGTGTGTTTATTTTTTGTGCAACGCTAAAACGATAATTCATTACTCTACCGCCGTGAATTTTATGGCACGTGTCAAGTTTTAACTCTCTCCATCCCTATTTACAATTTACAATCGGACACTGAAAGAATTTTCAAGACGCAACAATGGACATATCATTAATCGTACACGTTACAGCAGAGCATCAGCAAGTAGGCTCAAAACCTCTTTCCATATTTGGGAGGTGAGGCAAAAGAGTACCCCCTCCGAGCTCGATAGCTCGAGTTCTCCAAAATGTCCCACCGCCGCCGACTCAAACCCTACAAAAACAACGTCGAAATTAATCCAATAAGCTACGGTGAAGAGAGACAACGTCGAAATTAATCTAATAAGCTACCGTGAAGAGAGAGAAGTGTGTCAATGATGAGAAAATCAAGGCAAGCCCTAACGTAAACCCTAAGAGAAAGAAAGCAGAAAGAAGAAACAGATTCGTTTACCGCTGAACGATAAAGGAAGCAGAAGCCGACTAAAGAAGCTCCAGTGGTAGTCGCCATTAGTCCACTTTGGCTCTTGCTGCTCCGTAGGCGCCAGCCAAGAAGAAGCGATCAGGAGCTAAGAGGGCAACCAGGAGAAAATATTACATGGACTCCTAGATGGTTTGAGCGGAGTCAATTGTGAGTTGAGTTTCACCGTAATATTGTAAATGATGGGATGTCTTATCATTGTATTCCAAATGTATCAAGAGTCATCATATAATAATTTTCCGGCAATCAGAGGCCCACCCTGCACTTCTCAAATTCAATTTTTTAGATATATTCCCTCCTCAAATATCAATTTTGTATAAATATCACTTTCTTTATAAAGAAATTTTCCCCCACCGCACAAAATTTTTTTTTAAAAAAAGGCAAAAAAAAAAAACATCTCGCCGGTATATCACGCCCGTCATCCGTATATAGTTCGTGTACGGATGACGTACGCAAAATTTTCTCAAAAACAATGCTAGTTTTGCGTACTATCACAAATATCATTAGAATACTTTCATGTGTAATTTTGGTGGTATTGCGCTACAATACCATCAAAATACTATTGATACTCGTCTAATTCACCCAGAGGAGATTTATGACATATCATCCAAATACTCTGTATTTACATATCTAAGATGTTAATTTTTTTACCTTCTACCCTCGTGAAATACACACTTATATGCATAGATATGGTGACATATATTAATAATTGAAGTTTAGGTGTAATGTTTATGGAATTCATGAAAAACAAACAATAAAACATTGATAATGTAGTATAAGAAGATTTAACTACTTACCACTCAATTAATATATATTTACATGTTTAATACATAAACTTCTAGTTTTACATATATCACATTTTTTTATGTAAGAAAATATGTATTTCACATTTTAAAAGTTAAAATAGTAATTTTTGTAGCATGTATGTAAATGCTTCTATATTATAGATATATGATTTTACTTTGCATTGTATTTTAGGGGCATTTAAATACATTCCACCCAATTCTTATCTATTTATATATAAAGCACCTAAGGCTTATTTTTCCACATTTGTACCCGCTAAATATTTCATATCATATAAAAATATTACTATATTAACTCCTACAATGTAAAGGACACTTTTGCATGCATAAAAAAGGTGGTATGAATGTAAAAAATTGAAGCTTAGATGCTGGATATGTAAATACAAAAGAATTGAGTGGTTAAAAATATGTGTTAATATACAATGTATTAGGAAAAGCATTACATCAGTACTCCTAATGTATAGCTACGTTGAGATTGGAATATTCCGTTGTATTACGGGAATATTTCATCTGCGTTATTTGTAAAAA